AGATTTAATCATGATGAGTTGTACCTGCCATGATACTCATTTTGTGTCAAAAGGTCATGGTGATGGTTCACAATGACCTGTGTTGATATTTTTAATAAGATTTTTAAGGTCAAGAACACATATTGAAATGTGGGCACAGCCTGCTTAGTCAAAGTTAAGGTCGATGTGATTTTATTCAAATTATCTATTTTTGTAGAAAATATGAAGTTTACTATCCAGATAAGCTCTGAGAAAACTGGAGTGCACTGCTCTTCTGACAGCTCAATCTTACTTGTTTTTTTTTTTTTTTGCTATCCTTGAACTATTCATGAAAATTGTTTGGAATTTGTGAGCATTTGAATGAAATTTTCTGTATAATTAGAACAGTCAAAACTGCAGAACTGGAGATATAAGCTTGCATACCTCTTAATGTTCTAAACTACTATGCCGGCAGCTTTCAGTATGTCTAAAAACATTAATCTGCAGTGCAAGCACTATCATAATGTCAAAAATAGAAAGCATTGGCTATATACTTGGTCACAGCTTCTGAAATATGTATTTTCTTCTAACATGTATGTGTGATTTAAAAAAAACTGTTCATGTAAAGTTTTACATTTGATAATGCAATTAAAAAGAAATAAATAATAAAAAAAAACAACCTGTGTCTTGTTTACACACTAGGTGATTTATCATTTAGAAGCAGAATAGCTGAAAAGCATGACATGTAATTTAAATGCCTTCTTTTTGTATTATTTTAAAAGAACTTTTATCGCAACATTTCAATGAAAAAAAAATGAAATTTTAGCCATCTGTCTGTACTAGGTTTAACTTTCCATGCATAAATAAGTTCTACCTTTATCATGGGCTTCATACACTTATTTATACAAATTTAAGCAAGTCACTTCCTCCCTCTCCATTATTTAATTTTTTTATCCTATGTAATGACTAGCCTAACCCATCAAGTTCATTCATCTTATATGAGCCGCGTCAATTCACGACAAAAATCAACGTTATGCGTTTGCGACCAGCATGGATCCAAACCAGTCTGCGCATCCGCACAGTCTGATCAGGATCCATGCTGTTCGCTACCAGTTTCTCTACTTGTAATAGGGTTTGTAAGCGAACAGCACGGATCCAGATCAGACTGTGTGGATTCGCAGGCTGGTCTGGAGCCATGCTGGTCGCAAACCCATTATGTTGGTTTTGTCGTGACGCGGCTCATATGTGCTATTGAGTTTTGCCAATACATTGGCCATGGCGGTCAAAAGCTATACATAGCTTATGTTTTGTAAAATGTTATATATGTATACCGACAATAAATAAATTTTGATTTGATTTGATGGCCTTGACAAGTAACATAAATGGAGTATCCATTTCCCCCAAATTGATTCCCATTTTAGGCTATAAAACTTAATATAGTATAGATTTTCATTTTATAATTCATGTTGCCATCCCTTCCACATAATCTACATCTTTTAGTTTTATATGGTACTTTGACATGTTTTCAGCTGGATTTGACAGCGTATAAACACCCGGTTCTAATTTTAGACATTGAAGAGCACTTCCGTTACTATTTTTAGTAACGGAAAACCCCTCTTTCATTAGCAACCGACTTAAGAATTTTCTTAAGTGAAATATTTATTACTTAAGATATTTCTCAATCTTAAGAATAATCTCAGCTAAGTTTTTCTTAAGTCATTTTCAGAATACGACTTAATCTTAAGATAAAAAAATTTCTTAGCTAAGATTTTTTTTTTAACTTATGTTTTAACTTAAGAAATAACTTAAGATCAGTTGTGAATACGGCCCCAGAACACATTGTAGGCCTATGGGAGTTTTACATTGAAGGATATATTGAGGTATTATAATGTATAATTAACACATAATTGTCGGGGTGATAGAGGATATTGTCAACACGAGAACTGGTAAATTACACCGAGGTGCAGCCGAGGGTAATATGCCAGTTCAAGGGTTGGCAATATCCTCTATCACCCCGACAGCCATGTGTTATTTATTTTATTATACCAAAAAAACACTCTTAGGTCAGCAGTCTTTGCCTGAAAGAAAATACAGATCATCACTTCACAATTATAGCGATTTTGATCTGTAAATGTTCGATATACACAAAAATAGTATAATGTATATAGATAAAAACAATAGACAGACAGACAGACTAGGAAATAAATAATATTATGCTAACTGGGTACTAAGTCATTATCGCTTTATGAATGAGTTATGTAAGAGTTTTGTGCGCCAAGGTGATATAAGAAATATTCCCCGGGGAATATATTCTAGGAGGGTGATATTCGATCAGAACACATTGTAGCCCTATGGGAGTTTTACATTGAAGGATATATTGAGGTATAATAATATAAATGTTTAAATGACACCATCATATAGCAATTATAATTGTACTATTCGAATACTGTGTAATATTTATTTTAATCTGTTGACAAAAACTTTTAACATTTCGTCTCCATTCGACAAATTATCACAATTTGTCAATGAATAGTAGGTGTTTGTGTGTAACGTATGTGATATATAATCGATATAATATGTACCCCTGTGCATCCCAGTGTCGTTGACGTTCAGCATCATCAGAAGAGATTTCAAGACACAATTCTATGAATATTCAAAAGTACCAACCTAATAGTAACAACCATTTTTGTACGTTAAGCTGTTAAGAAAATTATTAGTTTATGTGCATCAACTGAATAAATGAAAATGGTAGAAATAAGCATACCTCTTTTTCTGTCCAAAATATTTCACATTTTCAAGCTCTATTAGTGTTCACTATTAATCAAACTGCGCTTTAGTCGTGAAAATAACTCGAAACCTGATCAATCCCTTTTTTAAATAACGTAGAATAAATTGAATCTGTCGATAGACTTCAGCAATTTGATGGTAGAAGCAAGAATATAATTTAAATATAGATGAATTATTATTGTACACTGACCACTTGCTCATTAGTCAGCGTTTTATTCTGCAAATCATTTTCAAAAGTACATGTACAAATGATGTCTGTACCAAACTCATATTTATGATACTTTCAAATCAATACTTATCTTGAAATCCAATTGATATACATAATTGATATACATACTGAATTATGTAATTATTGTATATTTCATAGAACAGATCACCGATAACAGTAATTTTAAGGGTGATTTGCTACTCAAACCTTCCTCGGGTAAGTCGAGGAAGACTTTCAAATATGAATACCAATTCTACACTTGAGTTCACCTTGACCAAGGCGTCCTCAATTCGTCCTTCGAGTTTGAGTGGAGGTTGAGTTCGATTGACGACACTGAATATAGCTATAGGTGTAGAGTAGCGCAATGCAGATGTTAACAAGATATGTTTGTAAAACATGTATGCCCCCCTAAACACAGCCAATTGAATATTATAACATTAGATTTTAAAATGTGTATAAAAATGCATAATAAATTTGTTATGGAATACATGTATATCATTGCCATGGGGCAGAACCAATATGACCCATGGGTCCATGAATTGAGTAAACCCTGTAGTTGTCAATGAGACAATGTTACACACAAAATATCTTCTAAAAGCAAGGTTTTCATGGTGAGGTCACTGTGACCTTTACCTTTCACCTACTGGCCCCAAAATCAATAGGGGTCATCTACTAGTCATGACCAACATCCACACCAAATATGAGGACCATCAGCCAAAGCATTATCTAGTTATTGAGCTGAAATGGCATGGTCTACGGACCGACCGACCGACATGGGCAAAGCAATATACTCCCACTTCTTCGAAGGGGGGCATAATAACTTTTTTTGACTTTTTTATCGTTGGTACCGGTTGCCCATATGACCAACGTCCCCTGAAGATTGTTAGTATATTATTTTTCGGGGGATATTGCATGATACAGAAGACGCCCCGTTCCAGAGGCGACCCTGGTTCTTTAAAGTGCCCGGTGTAAAGAAGCACCAGTACAATGCACCTCGGTTTAACTTATTTTTTCCCCTTTTAATAGTAAGGAGATAGACTGTATCCAACAATTAACTTATTTTCAAATACATTTTTTAAACGTTTTTAACAATCTCACACGCATCCCGCTAGAGTCCCGGTGGTCGGTCGGGTGATCCAGGAACAACCGGGGTACGTCCGTAACTCTGTCGGCAACGTCCGGGATGATCAAGAGCTTTGCCGGGGCTCTACCGGTGATTGTCGGCACTCTATCTGACCGTACCGGGGCTCTGCCGGATTCATCTGGAACTCTGCCGACATCATTCGGGGCTGTGCTAGCATGGATCTCAGCTTTTATGATCTCTTTGATCGAAGACTTAACAGCGTTTTCAAGAATATCGTGTTAGGTCATCCGTCGTCCACTTACTATCTGTATTATCCGTAGTTTCAAATGGACTCTGCATGGATAGCCCGGAGTTCATCCTGGTTGTTATAAGTATGGAAATTGGGTATCGCCGTAGTGCAACCGGTGTTATTGAGACGGCAACAATATTTTCATCCCGAATCGTCTGAGGTGGTCCTGGGCTTTGCCGGGATGCTGGTGAGAACGCTACTTAAATCGGTACTTTTAATCCCTAAGGAAACCTTTATAACTGGCTGATGCATTACTGTTGATCATAGAAATAAGTGCAATTAACATATGTAAAGTTGAGACATTTATCGTTAACCGATTTGGACATTTATGAGCACCTAGTTTGTTGCGACATTTTTCGTTAATGTTTGGACATTTATCGTTAACGGAGTGTTGGACATTTATCGGCGATTGAGACATTTATCGTCAATTTTTGGACATTTATCGTCGTTTGGACATTTTTTGACGTTTGGACATATATCGGCGCTACAGACATTTAATACGTGCCAATTGTTATATAATATGTTGAATCCAACCGTGTCGGGGAAAACACTACCTTGTATATATTTTAATTAGTAAACGGATTCTGGAGGATGATCAAGGGGAAAATGTGCCGAACGCATGTGCATTAACGTTGCTCGCGGGGGATAAATGACTGACTCCAACGGCCCACTCAATCGGGAATCAATTTTTCAATCCAATATAAATAAATACATTTTCATGATACATTTATTTCGCTAAATTTCATACTTGTAATTTCATGATAATGTTAGTAGTTAACACAGTAAATAACAACAATAAACATCAATAAGATATTTTCCTACAGCATAATAGTAATTATATAAGTACAGAAACATGAATTTAACATTCTTTCATTGTAAAAAAAAACATTACAGGAACTACACTTTTGTTTCAAATATGTGGTTCGTCGGGGTGGTTTCGTAACAAATAATTATGTTATGTCTGTGCCGTAATTTTATGTGTTGTATCAATATTCAGTTACAGTGTAATAGTCATTTATCTTCGGTATTATTTAAAAATCTTTTAGTTATTATAAACACTACTCAGTAAGTCCATTTTCCTGTTTTAATTATATCGTTTTGTAACAACAATTCCAACCGGTTGAATACAACATTATATGTACATTAAAATGTACCGCAGAAAACTGATAAACACGCTATATGTCAAAAGTCAGTGGCCTGTTAATTCCTTTCTTTAAGTCTAACAGATAATCAGATAAAAAAAACTTCAAATAAATGACATACATACATACATACATACATACCTTATTTATATCTTCTGAAGAAGGACAACCAAGTATCATTAAAACCAGCATTTTGTAATACATCTCTCACTTTTGAAGCCCAATTAATTATTATTTTCAGCAACTTGTCTTAAGTTACTTATGGTACTTGATAAAATACAATTATTATTTTTTCATCATATAACTTTAAAAAATATTTTATAATCCTTATTTCTAACCAATTCACCATAAACAGCAGAACTTGTAATAGACATTTTAACATTTAATAACCATTTCATGAATTTTTAATGTACTCTGTCAATAGTTTATGCCTTAAATAAATAAAACCCCAAACTTCACTCGAATAATTCAGTATAGAAATAGTGAAAAACAAAATCCCTAAAGAAAGCCCAACACGGCAAAATTGTAAAAAAAATGCAGGCTCGGTTTGATTGAGCATGTTCATGGACGGTATTGGAAAGTACTGTATAAGAATCAAAAGGATTTAACATAATATTTATAGGCACTTCTAAATCTCTCGTTATGGTAAAAAGTGACCACATTGCTCTTAAAGCTTTGTCTGCTAATGTTTTGTTGCATTCATAAAAGATCCACCGCTGGAAAAATCAATACCTAAATAATTAAAACATGAAACAATAAATGTCTTAGATAAATTCATGATAATAATCATGTTGTCATACACGTGACGTAAATTAACTAATTGGCTTATTGATAATTTACATATTTCTGAATTACAATAAATTAACAAACTTCTCTTAACATAATCAAGAAAATATAATAATTTTACGAAAGGTATTTCGAAAAAATCAAATGAAAAAAATACAGCATAACACATACAAAATTATTGGCTCTGGTTGACACATATTAACGTGTATATATGAACAATCAAACGAAGCATTCCAATAACAATACAGGTTCTGAATACTCATTTAAATTAGTACAAAATTACATGAGATCTTTACAATGATAAAGAAATCAAAATCTAAAAAGTGAAAAAGAAAAAGAAAACACTTGTCATGATAAACAAAATAAATCCGATCACCTGAAAAATTAATTTAAACATTTTTATTCTGTAAATGACACTACTATAAGTCTATAACCATAACATATGAAAACAAATATCAACAAGAAGCGTGGCATTCAATGAACGTGTTCTGTGATACAATCTAGCAACACAGATCCGCCGGCAAGGACAGCAACAGCAAGGACAGGACTTGAAAACTGATCAGCAATTAAGATGATCGCATCCAGAGAAACACATAAATATGAACACATTTAGCTGAACACATTAAGGATGAACATACTAGCTTGAACGCATAAAGACTATGGCATTAAGATATATATATTTTTCAACACCAACCATAAAATGGCTGGGGCATATAGTGTTGCTCCAGTCCGTCCTTCCGTCAGCATCAATTTTCGTTCATTATCTTGATAACGGTTGCCCACATTCAACTCAAATTTGACATATAGATATATCAAAGATAAATACAGGTCAAATTCGAATTTGGTCATGGTCCGATGAGTTATGACAGAGTTATGCCCCTTGATGAAATTTTCAGTTTCCGTTCACTATCTCCCAAAATGTTGTACACATTCAACTCAAATTTGACATATCAATACGACAAAGGAATGCGCAAGTCAAGTTCGAATTTAGTCATGGTTTTATGATTTTTGACAGAGTTATGCCCGTTTCACTTTGAGAAAAGAAAACAAATGTCAGTTTCTGTCCATTATCTCTCCAACTTTCTTGAGAAAAGAAAGAATTTTTCAGTTTCCGTCCATTATCTCTCCAGGGGCAGTACACATTCAACTAAAATTTGACATATTGACACGTCAAAGGAATGCGCAGGTCAAGTTCCAATTTTGTCATGGTTTGATGATTATTGGCAGAGTACACCCCTTTAACTTTGAAAAAAAAATCAAAACAATTTTCAGTTTCCGTTTATTATCTTCCTTACAGTTGGACACATTTAACTCAAATTGACATATTGTTATGTAATAGGCTTTATTTTAAATGTGTTTAGTATCTATTTCCTAAATAGCTCAGTAGGTAAAGCGCAAAACTAATAATCTCAATGTCGTGGGTTCAATACCTACTCACGCCACTATTATTTTTAATAATTTTGTTTATTTAATGTTTATATAATTTTTCATGTTCATTCATCTTCTTTCAAAAAAGTTCTTTTCATGTTCATTCTAAAATATTCTTTCTCTAAGTAGTTTAGTATTCTAAGTTGTTCATTAATAGTATATATAATAAATGTTTGTACTTCAAGGTGTATGCTAATTTGTATTATTTTGTAATGTTAATATACTAATTGTATGCTATTTTACTTATAATATCGTAAAGCTAACATGAAAATATATTAGTTTAAAGATCCTGTATGTTTTGTGATCGATATTGTACATGTGTGTATACCACTCTTACAATAAATTATATATGTATATGTTTATGCAGATAAAACAAGTTTTAAACATCGGAGAATATATAAAATATATACTGCAAATATATGTGCACATTATATGTTATTAATAAATTATATGCATTCATTTCTTATTGGAAAATTTGACTTCAAATTTGTAAAAAATAAATTTCTAATTACATCCCTTTATTCATATGAAATATTAAATTTGGTAATATCTTTATAAATAATGCTTATTGGAACTTACAATATTGACAAATCTTAATTTGAGCATCATATTTATGAAATTAAACCATAAAAAACAGTGTTACAGGATCTTTAAATTCTGTAATTCTGTGTAAAAAGTATTTTAAACATATTGCATGTATCGTAATATTCTGCTGTAAACATTAAACATTAATTAAATTTAAGTTGTAAACAATTAAATTTCAAACTGTAAGTTAAACTTTAAAACATTTTTTAAATGTTAATCGTAAACAATTGTAAGTTGAACTTTATTTTCATTTTTTTTGTATTATTGTAAATTACTGTTTTTCTGTAATCAAAAATTATAACATTTATTGCTGCGTTATCTTCTCTGTTGCGTTTTGCAATTAACAAAATTTGGGGTCGTCCGGAAAATTTTTGTTTAAAGCCGTTTCATTATTTATTTAAAGTTAAGTTTAGCTGTCAACCGTCAATTGCTTTAAAAATCTTGTTTGCAAAACACAGCAACAAATTAAAATGTCTTTTAATTGAAACCAGTCTGTTTAAAAACCCTCCCAAAATAAATTTCTTTCGGCTAAAAAGTCTAATTTGCTCAATCTTGCAAAACATTTTAATGTTAAACAAATTAAGTCTTCTATAATAAAACAAAAAGTTTCAAATAAATTAATTAAATTTTTGGTAAAACAAATTGTTTCGATAATTTTTCTTTCTTTTATAAGTAAAAAAATCAAAGTTTAAGTTACAATGACAGCTAAAAAAACTCAAAGTTAAGCAAAAAATCAAATTAAAAAAACTAAAATGTAAATTAAGGTTAAAATTAAAATATAAAAAAAAACAAATACAACTTTTAAAAAAAATAATGAAAATAAAAATCTTTAAAAAAAGCTTAAGCTTGAAAATCCCCCAAAAAACCAATTCCATTTACAAATAAAAAAGGCTAATAAAAATGTAAATCAAGCACATTTAATAGCCGACAAACCTTTTAATGTAGCTAAATGTATTAAACTTGTACCTTCTTTCAATAAAAATAATGGTAATACATTTTTATATCAATTAAAAAAAGTTGCAAACAATTTAAAATGGCCAAAAAAGCACTAAAGTTTATTATTACAAAGCGCCTTAATACAAATATCGTAATATTTACACTCAGTTAAGCATTAAGCAGTATGCAAATTATAATGCTGTAAAAAAAGGTTATTCTAAAAGGCTATGAATTAGTTCCTTAGGCATACAAACAAAAGTTTAAAAACTGTAAAAAATTAAGTGACCAAACTCATAAAATAAAAAAGAATAATTGTTTAATCGCTGGTGTTTGTCAAAAAGGTTAAAACGCATTATAATAATTTACGCCAGTTAATTCTTGTTATAAAGTTCAAAAGTTGCATTAACTCTAATGTCAACGCCTTTATAAACAAAACAAAAGTAAAAACTTTTTAAAACAAAAAGCTGCTCGTTTGGCTAATAACTATTCTTTAACTCATAAGCATTCCTTTGTTCCTAAATCCACAGGTCAATATACACCCCCATCTAAAAATTAAAACATAAATGGTCATCAAAATCCAATTAGTAAACCCATACCAAGCTATGGCTCGTCTGGTTATACAAACAAGTAAAAAAAATCAAAAAGCAAAATAAAAGCACCAATCATTTTTCTCTTTAAACTTCCTGGTATTGCAAACAAAAAGGGCACATTGCTATCAACTTAAAAAAAAATCTTATAATAAGTCTAATCCAACAGGTCTCACCACTTTAAAATCAAGCCCATAGTCTTGTGTTAATAAAAATAACGTTTTTTATATAGCTTAACAAAGGTCTCAAAATCTAATTCGAATATAAAAATTTATAGGCCATTCTTGTCGAATGGTTTTGTTGCACTTTAAGGTAATTCTAGTCCACCCTGCCCTGTTAAAATAAAAAAAAAACACAAAAGCTCCTAAGTCTTTAATTTTGGCTAATACATTGCCTTTTTGTAAAAAGTCTTCTTCTGGTAATAGGTTCCTTATTCAGGGTGTAAAGTGTGGTTTTGTAAGTGTTCCGCCCCATATCATCTTTTTAATATCAAACTTGGTTACTAAACCGGTATATGTAAGTGTTAAGTCGTCGTTACCCTTTAAAGGTGTCCATTTGTTGCTAGGTAATAACTTAGCTTTAAATAACTTAGATATAAAATAAGGTCGTGGTTAACCCACTCTTAACTGGCACACCAAATTTAACTAAAACTCATAGTTTTGTTAAGCAAAAATTCCCAATCTTTATCCATCGTGTGCAGTTACTAAAGCTATGGCTAATAAAGCGGCTAGTAAAGCCTTTAATTGTAACAAAAAGGTCACTTAAAATGTTGGCCTATCTAATACATTTTTAGGTCAAATATTTAATAATAATAAACATAGCTCAAAATACACTTTAGTACAAAAAAACATAATCTTGGTCATAACACTATGTCAATGTCACAACTTGTTAAAGCATAAAATAGTAATCATGAAGTTGCAAATTTGTTTCAAAGGGGTTTGTCGAAAAATAAACTTTCTAAAGTTCCTGTTGGTTACTATAAAAAAAATGGTGTCTTAATAAAAAATGGCGTCCTCCCAATGTTCAAGCTAATAAAAATTGGTCAGTCAATCACCAAATTGTGGTTCCTTAAAGTTATCAAAAAGCATTCTAAGCTTGACCCATAATACTCCAATGTCAGGTCATTTAGGTATCAATAAAACTTACCATAAAATCCTAAGTCATTTCTTTTGACCAAAATTAAAATCAAATGTAACCCAATTAACTCGTGTCACACTTGTCAAATGTTAGGCTATCCAAATCAAACAATACCTAAGGCACAGTTACATCCCATTCTTAAATTTAAAAAAAAAATATTCCGTAAAATTCTCATAAATTGTGTAAAACCTTTGGCCAATCTAGGTAAAAAACAAGTATATTCTAACAATAATGTGTGTTTCTACTCGTTTTCGAAAAGCTATACTTTTGAAAAATATTAAGGCCAAAAACATTGTTAATGTCCTAGTCAAGTTTATCACTTTTATAGGGTCTTCAAAAATATGTACAGTCAATATGATAAACAAGATCAACAAGGAAAGGCGGCGTTCAATGAACGCAACCCCCAAATGACCCAGCAACAAGAACCAATGGCAAGGAGCCCAGGCGGACCCCAAACATAAAAAGGACAGGGCAAAGACAGGTCAATGATAAATAATTTGTAACTGATTAGGAATTCAAAGAAAATAATAATAGGCCCACAGTGGGGAAGGGGACAGGAGACCGGGTGAAGGGGGGGCGGTTAATCAAAGAAACAAAAACTAGAGGCAATGGGGAAGATACTTACCGTAGACGAGAAAACAACAAGGGACACAAGCAAAAGTGTCACCAAAACAGTATGAAACAACATAGGCATACATCTGAGGAACACAGTGGGGCGCCACCTTGGAACGGTCAGCAGCATAATAATGACTGCTGGGGAGTTTAAACCGGTTAATGGTGCACCAAACCTCGCTCTTAGCCTCACCATTTCCTTCCCCGCCAAGTGAAATTCTAACAGTTGTCATGATTACAAAAGGTTAAATAAGTAAAACACTAAAATGATCATGTAGAAACATATAAAAGTAAACCCAATGACCATAACAAAAGTACTCAATGTCCTAAAGGAAGACAGAGCAATAAGAAAATCCCCTACAAGGGCCCGACGAAACAAGGCAGAAGACGAACATTAAGACAATTCAGCCCCAAAGGGCTTTACGAACTATCCATCATAGAGTCTCCCACTTGGTCCGTCAGATGCAATCAAAAGAGGAAAGCGTATGCATGCAGTATGTCTAAAAATAGTAGGGTCATAACCTCTTTTAATAAAACGTTTAATGATTTTAGTAAAAACAGCAGAAAAATTAACATGACCCAAAATCTTACGAAGTTTGTAAATCACATCGCCATAAAAACCAGGCTGGCTAATCCCTTGTCGCAGAAGAGTTTTTAAATCACTATTGAATTTAGAAATTAAATTAAAGTTACGATTGTAAAATTTAGTAGAATATTTCCGTAATTTATTATAGCGGTAGCCCTGTTTTAGAAGCTTGCTGGTAATAAAAATATTCCGCTCGTTGAAATCATTTACGTTGCTACAAGCTCTAGCGAATCTAATTAACTGAGAAACATAAACCCCGTAAGATGTTGCGTGGGGTACGTCTCCATCTAAATGTGGATAATTAACTATACAAAAGTCAAAGTCATCTCTTTTATCATAGATTTTCGTGTGAATAGAATTGTTGTCGATAGTAATATGAAGATCCAAAAATGATGTACTAAAATTTCAAGAGTTCGTTTTATTAAGTTGTAGTTCATGCGGATAAATGTCAGACACCATTTGATCAAAATAAGGATTATCTAAATTAAAAATATCATCAAGGTATCTGGAAGTTTTATTAAATGCGACTATAACATCTTGTTGGTTCTCTTCAGAGAGACTCAACATAAAGTCTCTTTCATAGCAGTTCAAAAACAAATCGGCGACCAGGGGTGCACAATTAGTACCCATAGGAATTCCTATGATCTGTTTAAATAGGGTATTACCAAACCTGACATAAATGCTGTCTAAAAGAAAAGAGAGTGCTCTACAAACTTCGTCACAGGTCCACATAGTATAATGTTTAACAATACCGTTAGTAAAAAAAGCTTTGTTAGAATTACATGCTAGAAAGGTAACTTTTTCCCGTGCACAAGTTTTCTGAATTAGGGAAATTAGTTTATCATTGATTAATTTATGTGGCAAAGTTGTATAAAGTGTAGAAAAATCGTATGTACTGACAGTTGAAGCTTGAAAGTTATTAATTTTGAATTTATCCAAGATTTCACCAGAATTTTTAATTGACCAAAAGAGATGTTTGCCTGTGTTTTCATAGACTTTATCACAATATCTAATTACATGTGTTTTAATGGCAGTCAAACAAGACGTCAATAAAATAGAAAGTTTACTTGTAGTGCAAGATGTAGAATTAGCAATATATCTGGCTTTGTAAGGTTTTTTTATGTAATTTAGGAATCCAATACATAATAGGATGTTTGAGTTCTTTTTCATTAATTTGGACTTTAAGATTGGAAATATTAGTAATATGATTGTTTACAATGTCTTTTTCGGAGGCAGAGGTTTTAGAATACGCATTAGTGCTATTTAGTTCCTTATGCAAAACGTTAATGTAATGGATTCGTCAAACAATTATAATATTATTAGCCGCCTTGTCCGCTGGCACCAAAACAAATTTTGAATGAAAAGCTAGAATATCTTTTTTCAGATGTCTTAAAGTAAGTCTTGGTTTAGGTGGCAAAAGATGTTCATTTCCACGATAAAAATTAATACGTGAATCAATAATTTTAAAGATGTTACGTTTCCATGTAACTAGAGCATTACTATCCGCATTTTCACGGCGACACCATTTGACCGAAAAATCCTCTATAGATTCAGCAATCTGACCACGACAAGCATTAAAATCAATCTCATTCCTTTCAAGAATAAGTTACGAATTACAGGCTTCTTATATTTATAGCAAGTAATTGGTATCTCGGAGTTTTTGAAGTATAAAGGAACTGAATTAGTGACACGTTTATCACGAAAAATACTTGGTAAATCGATGAAATCGATACCTTTATTAAGAAAGGTTACTTTTAGGAAATGCCTGTTGTGGTCAGAAGTGTTGTCGATATGAGGTCTTAAGACGTGCTGAGTATAACTTTGAATAAGATAAGCTGCTGTATATAAAGGATCTGTTTGAATAACTATATTATCTGCCTCCGCGTCTAAGATTTTCAGAGATGATAATGAAAGGGAAGTAAGACGTGATAACATTGCATGTTTACCAGAGTTTTTTAAGATAATATTTAAGTCGGTGACAGACAGGGTATTTTTAGATTTACGTTTGATGTTGCCATTTGTAAACCAGGGTTCAAATTTCATGTCTCATATTTTCCAACAGTTCATGCAGAAGTAAAAAAAATAAAGAAATATAAATCATCGGCTTATTATCCAAAAAGCCAAGGTGCCCTTAAAAAGTTCCATAAAACTCTACAAAAAACATAATTAAAACATATTGTTTTAACACAAAAAATTAAAATAAAGGTATTCCCTTGCTCATATTTGCTGCAAACAAGTTTGTACAACCAGTCCAATTAAACTCGTGTATAAACACACAGTTCGCAAACTTTTACATATGTTAAAAAAAAAATCTTGTCTAAAAATAATTCACCTGTAAATAGATTTATTAAAGTATGTCTCAAACTTTAAACAAAAATATCTAAAGCTTGTAAAGTTGCAAAACAAAATCTCGAAGTAACTTAAACTAAAATAAAACTTAAATATAACAAAAAATACAAAACTAAGTCGTTTCAGTCTGGTAATAAAGTTCTGGCTCTTTTGTCGATTCCTGGTAATCCGTTACACGCTAAATATGTTGGTCCTTACATTGTTGATAAAAAAATAAGTAATCTTAATTATGTTGTTTTAACACATAAAAGGAAAAAAAAACTTTTATAGGGTCTTCATATATAAAAATTCTTAAAATATTGTTAATCCGGTTTCAGTAACTGACCACGTCTCGTATAAACAAAACGTTAGTAATATGAATAAATGCAAAAAAATGGCAAAAACAAATCCTTGTAAAACAAAAGTTAAAAATTCTAAAAAATATAAACACATTAAACTGTCACAGCAAAACAACTAAAAAAGCGGGTGTATTATTTCAAACATTTGTTACACAAACTAATAAAATATACCATAGCGTTGTGTTAAAAAGTAACACAAAATCCATACAAAACAAATCCAGTCAAACAACAAGCTTAAAAAAATAAAGTCAAATACTTACTAACAAATAACTTTATAAAACCAAAACCAAAGCAAATATAGTTCACAATACATTCTTGTGCCCAAATCAAACAACTCATATAAAATGTGCACAAACTATCGTAAAATAAATGCAATAACAAAAACTAATACATATCCAATACAAAAAGTAAATAATTGCATAAAAAATGTTTAAAAAGCAAAATATGTAACAAACTTTAACTTAAAAGCTTTTGGAAAGTTCCATTAACTAAGAATGCAAAATAAATAAGCATTTGTAACTCCTAATGGGCTTTACCAGTATAAAGTTATACCTTTCGGCATAAAAAATTCACCAGCTACATTTCAACGGCTTATCAATTCGGTTATCGCTGGTATCAATAAATGCAACGGGTGCATTAACAATGCCATCATACATTCTAACCGTACATTTAAAAACATCCTAAAATCATCAAAGCATTCGAAAAGCAATTAAGCAACACTAAATTAACAATCAACCTCGCAAAAAGTAAATTTTGCCATGCTACATTGACATTTTTAAAACATAAGGTGGAGCAGCTTCTTGTAAAACCAGTTAATGCTAAAGTACAAGCTATTAATAGTTTTCCTGTACCTACATGTAAAATGTAAAAAAAAAACAATTAATAAAATTTCTTGGTATGGCTGGTTATTACCAAAAGTTTTGCGAAACCTTTTCAGATATTGCTAAGCCATTAACAAATTTGCTTAAAATCACCAATTGTGCCAGCTCCAAACTTTAACAAATGTTTCAAATAAGCTGTAAATGAAAGTTATATTGCTATTGGGGCTGTGTTAATTAAAAAAACAACAATGGTGTTAACCATCCATCTAAACATTTTAACAAACCTAAAAAAAATACTCTAAAATAGAAAAAAGTGTTTAGCTCTTATACTTGCAATTCAACATTTTAAAGTTAACGTATCTTCTTAAAAACCCATTATTGTTTTCAGTAACTACAATCCACTCAAGTTTTTACATAAACTCAAAAATAAAAAATAAAAATTGTAAAGATAAAGTTTAATGTTACAAAATCATAATCTTAAAATAAAACATGTTAAAAAAATAACTTTATTCCTAATGCTTCATCACGTGTGTAATATACTACATGTATATTAATTGCCTATTGCTAATTTAAAAAAAAAAATATTTCATATATTTTTTTCTTTAAAAGGGATGGTGTTATGTATATAGGCTTTATTTTAAATGTGTTTAGTATCTATTTCCTAAATAGCTCAGTAGGTAAAGCGCAAAAATAATAATCTCAATATCGTGGGTTCAATACCTACTCATGGCACGACCATTTTTAATAGTTTTTTTATTTAATATTTATATAATTTTTCATTTTCATTCATCTTCTTTTAAAAAAGTTCTTTTCGTGATCATTCTAAAATATTCTTTTCTGTAAGTAGTTTAGGATTCTAAATTGTTCATTAATAGTATATATATAATAAATCTTTGTACTTCAAGGTGTATGCTAATTTGTAATATTTTTTAATGTTAATATACTAATTGTGTGCTATTTTACTTATAATATCGTAAAGCTTACATAAAAATATATTAGTTTAAATTCTGTAATTCTGTGTAAAATGTATTTTAAACATATTGCATGTATTGTAATATTCTGCTGTAAGCATAAAACATGAATTAAATTTAAGTAATTAAATTTCAAACTGTACTGAGTAAGTTAAACTTTAAAACATTTGTTAAAATTAAATCGTAAACAATGGTAAGTTAAGATTTACTTTCATCTTTTTTTGTATTATTGTAAATTATTGTTTTTCTTTAATTTAAAAATTATAAAATTTGTTGCCGTGTTATCTTCTCAGTTGCGTTTAGCTCGTAACAATATGGATACGTCAAAGGAATGCAAAGGTCAAGTTCATATGCATGGTTTGATGATTTTTGCACAGTTAAACCCCTTAACTTAAAAAAAAAATCAGTTACATTTCATTATCTCCCCAACAACTTTACACATTCAACTCAAATTTGACATATGGATACACCAAAGGAATGGGCAGGTCAAGTCCGAATTTGGTCATAGTTCAATGATTTTAGCTGAGTTATTCCTATTTAACTTTAAAAAAGGAGATTTTCAGTTTCTGTTCATTATCTCCCACACAGTTGTACATATTCAACCCAAATTTGATATATGGATATGTCATAGGAATATGATTGTCAGAATCGAATTTGGTCATGGTTTGATAATTTTTGACAAAGTTATCCCTCTTGATCTTTTCAGTTTCTGTTTATTATCTCCCTAACAGTAATACAACACTTATTTGACATGAAGATACATCTTAGGAATGAGCAGGCCAAATTTGAAGTTGGTCATGGTTCGATGGTTTTGAACAAAGTTATCTTTCTTGAACGTTGGAAAAAAAAATCAGTTTCTGCACTCTCACTTTCGTGGAAATGATTGTTGTCATTATCTCGGCTAAAAAAAGCAATATGCAATTTGACAAAGGTTAACACAGAATGCTTTCATGGCCTTGAACTATGTATAAAAATGGTTTGTGTTAACGGGCTTTGAACTTAGAATGAAAAAAAGTTTGTGCCGACAAATTTGGAACTAAATATGATTATTTCATTTTAAATTCTGGCTGCATGCGGGGGCATCCGTGGCGTGACGACACATTTCTAATTCATTATATACCCGATATTGCAATATTGATAAATGTAATAAAACTTTAATAATTCTAATAATTGAACATTTTATTTGTCATTAAGCAAATGAAATATTCGAAATATTGGATAAAGACAAATGTAAATAATTGCTGATCCTAAAACAGTCCAGTAATACTACTGACATCTGAGGTATTAAACCCAGGAAAGTTCTTTGTTAAAGATATCATAGCACGAGGAATAAAGTGTGGTGAAATTCATTTTTATTTTTCTATCAGACAGAATGACTTTTATGTTAAGTAAAACTTTAAAATCTTTAGTTTATATACGTTTGTTAATATTTAAAATCGCGTGATGTATGTAAAACATACAAGGCACTGAAATGGTATATGGAGTGAATCACTCCATATATTTTGTTGTAAAAGATTTTTACAAGTAAACTCTAATGCTTGCAATGATGAAGTTATGGGTGACTTGGGACGATACCCAATGTATATCTACTCATCAAAAATTGTATTAAATATTGGCTAAGACTGTTAAAAATGCCAAACGATAGATATCCTAAATTATGTTATAATATGATATTATATTATGATACAATAGGTAGGAAAAATTGGGTTTCAGACATAAGAGGAATTTATTTAGTAATGGTTTTGGCTATATTTGGGAAAACCAAAATGAAACTATTAATGATGATTTTTTGAATCTGTATGTCAATAGACTAAAAGATCAATATCTACAAAATTGGAGTGCAAAATGTATGCTTAATAAGAAATTGACATATTATTCATCATATAAAACAAGATTTACAGTTGAATATTATGTACATGTCCTGGATATTGTCAAATTTCGAAAATGTTTTGCTTCTTTTAGATGCTCTGTTCACAATCTTCTTATTGAAACAGATACTATGGCTTAAGTAGAGAATAACGTATATGTCCTTATTGTGAAACTTCAATAGAGGACGAATTCCATTTTATGTTAATCTGTCCTCTATATAATGATATACGCTGCCAATATATATTTCGGAAAACTACAGAATATAGTTCTCAGTTGAATATTGTGCTTACAAAAGATTGTTGCTCAATATATATATTATGCCCTGAAGGTGCTGAGATTGTGCCAAGTTCAGATTCTTTTTTGACAATAAAATATCTAAATAATGTGCTCAGCGTCAAATTAGCTGACCATCATATTTTGTTGCAAAATGCAAAATGTTTTGCCAGACTTAGTATGCAAAAAGCTGAAGAAAATGTCGAGTGTTTGGTTTTGTCTTTAACGTTAACCCTTTAACATATTTCTTAGATACCATTATTCAATGAAAATTACTCATTTGATATTAAAAATTAAGACAATAGCAATGCTAGTAAACATAGTATAAAATGAAAGCATGTTGACATAGGCGTTACTCGTTGCTTTCTTTACGATTTTCTCCATGGTTATCGCCTTCCCAATCTCAACTTTACAATCCCTCACAAAGATAGCATCAAGGTAGATATTTGTTGTGTTTAAAAACGTTTCCTTGTGTTCATCCTTGCATGGTTTGATAGCGTTCTTTACACATTCATAGGCGCTTTTATATTGCCTTCGTAAATAAAACAAAAATATAAATTAGAAGATATCTTACTATTTTCATTGGCTAACAATTTACAAGTTGACTAGTCAAAAATAATGCATCTCTCTGTTTGAATATTAAAATTTAATGTTTAAATATCTAAATTGAATATTGACAGACAAAATATCAGACTGTTGTGAAAAATAAAATAAAAATTTTGGCAGAAATTAATAAAAACAGCAATCCTTTAACATTATGGGAAATAAAAAAAGGTGGAATACGTAATGAAACAATAAAGTATGAAGCAATAAAAAGAAAAACGAAAAGAATAAAGAACATAATATAATTAATGACATACAAAAACTCGAAAACAAACTCTCAGTTCAAACAGATAATAGAATCAATTAAGGGAACTAAAATTTAAAAAAGGTTGGACTTAGAAACATTGTATGATAAAAAAATAAATGGTCAAGTATTAAGGGCAACAGCTATTCATATTCAATTTGAACAAAATAAATAAAGTAAGTACTTCGCAAATCTCGAATAAAAAACATGCTGCGACAATCTTACGACAGTCTTTACAAATTGCCACTAGTCAATGATAATCTTGAGTAGTCTTTAGTAATTGTGTGATGGTCGTACGACAAGTGGTAGATAATCGCATGACAGGTCACGGGTAGTCGTAAGTAATCCCAAGTAATATTGAGACCATCGTACGTTTGCTGATGACCTGTCGTGCAATTGTCAATGATGATTGGTCGTACGATAATCGCAGAAGTAAATTTATCTGTTCAAAGAGGGTTTGGTCGCAGACAATCGCCGATGATCGTCGGTTTTACACGTCGCCGGTAGTCGCAAGTAATCGTAAGCTCTAGTGTGACTGAGGTTTAAGATCACTAGCAACCTGTTTGATCGCAGAGAGGTTTTTGTGCAAGCTCAAAAACCTCTCTACGACTGACTTTGGTCGTGGGACCAAAATAAGATAATTTGCGACTATCGAAGATCATCGATGACCGTAGTAAGACATTTTAAAGATTGTCCGTGACCAGTGGTCTCTGGTGATAGTGAACTGGTCTTTACTGGTCGTAAACTCTAAAGCCCCAACCACATTAGAGTTTACCAGTAAAGACCAGTTCACGACCAGAATAAAAAAATCAAGGAAATTGAAAATGCAATATTTCATTTCATTTGGTAAAGAAAACCTGATAAAATTAAATGAAATATTATTAAGCACAGTATTGAGAATTTGGCGAGTTAAACTCACAGACATTTCATACTTTCTAAAATGTATAAAAACAAGTTGGATCAAAAGATATATAAATAAAGATAATTACAGTTCATGGAAATTATTTGTTAAATATAAATTATTAAATTATTGAAATGAACTCATTTTTGAATGTAACATTTCAAAACAAGATGCTGATAATCAATTTCCACACAAAAGTTTTATAAATATTATGCATGGTTGGAAATAAAAAGTACATGTTTCACAAACAATTTCTCTCATAAATTAGAGAAAAACATAACCCAACACGGCAAAATTGAAAATGTTGCAGGCTCGGTTTGATTGAGCCTGTTCATGAATGGTACTGGAAATTGCAAGTTACCGGCCATGCCCCCTAGCACCGGCTTAAGCAGAATTCCACATTTAAACACGAACCACCAAAATGGTGAAATTTTGAATTTTGACATTATTTGGAATAACTCAGATATAAAAATAGATGATTAACTTGTATTCTATAAAAATTGGTTTATTAAAGGAATGCAATTCATAGAACACTTATATGATTCTAGAACAGGAAAGTTTTATAAATTCGAAGAATTAAATTGTTTATATAACAATGCTTATTGGAAATATACCTGACACTCTTCTTAGCAAGCTGAAAAATCCATTAATAAACAATGTTTTCTTTTATACAAAATGTTACGCAATCCAAATCTGTGAATTAACTTTTTATATGATATGCAAATGAAAAATGGAAAATGTCAAGGGGAAAAAAGTAATGAAATTAAATGGGAAGAAAATATAGAGAAGCATTTTGACTGGAAAAGGATATATCAATTGCTTTTTAAGAGCACATTAGATGTCACATTAAGAAATTTCCAGTATAACTTCCCCTTTAGAATTATACCAACGAATACTGTCCTTTTCAAATGCAAACTGTCTGACACAAATTTGTGCGATTTTTATCATAGGGGAGGGGAACTGTAACACGAAGGATGGAGTTCTTATGATAACTTGTTTGGAGTTCTTATGATAACTGTCACAGAGTTCCTAGAAAAACGTTACTGATTTCTGTGGAAATTTTTTCTATATACTTGGAGAACTCACGCAAAAAAAGGTCATTTATTAACTTTAAATGGGGAGTTTCAGGTGAAAAATTAAACTTTGATAATAAAGCTTGTCCCACATATTGTATTATGTTTCAGAAAAACCTTTTAGTCCATTTTTCATCGCCTTTTTATAAAAATCTGGTACTTTTGAGTAAAATTTCCAAATTACTTGCTCATTCGTACATATTGACCTTTTCACTTGTGATCTTCGTTGCTATACTTAATTTACATGATTATAATGCAGGGTTGCAAACATAAAGCCCAGGCTAATAAATATACCCGATTTTTCAAATGTCACGGAGTTCTTGTGATAACTTAAAATATGTCCTGGAGTTCTTATGATAACTTTTGTTTCTGCCAGTGTGTTTCTTGTGCTTCTTCTTACGGCATGTTAATGCGTGTTTTATTAGTCAATATGTGTGTAAATCATTATGAAGCCTAGTACGCTTATCATTTGCACAAAAAGTTGGTCATGTAACGTTGGTTTAGAGTGTATTTCAGTTCAAGAGATATTTTTCTTACCTCCGTGTCTTGTGTTCTTTTGTGTTTGTTTAGTTTTTATTCTCATTTTATTGGAATGAGTGAAAACATTCATGATGTAGAGCATTGACTTACAGGATAAAAATATGCTTTGAATTTAAAACTCAAGCATGATTTCTTCAAGTATACATTATTCCTGGCAGGTTAAGAGAGCATTAAGTAATTATGCCATCAGTCTGCCGAAACAAATCACATGTAAATGGTTTGCAGCAAAAAAGAAAGTAGTATACATTACCTGTAATTTATTTTAATGAGGTGGGTATCATCTTTGGGTATTCAACGGATATTTTAATTTCTAAAAGGTATCAATTTTTGTCATAGAAACGTTTAAAGTCACCGTAAGGTTTATACCGTTTATCGACCTTGTTCCTTTCTCTATCAGATCCAAAGTAGCATCACGTGACGTACAGAAATCTCCATATTGCGGAAAATTAGTGCATACAATTTTCTTATCAAAGTTGGAGTCCATCGGACATTCCCCCTATATAATTCTAGTTGTGGGAACAATTTTTGCTGTTATTGATAACAAAAATATATTGTCCAACTTTTTTGATGGAACCGTAGGGCACGTGCAAATCTGTTGAAGACATCGGTAATGATCGGTTGAATTTATAGTGTAAAACAAGATCATTCATTTCGGTGCATTGATGTGAAGGGAATACCGGTTATATACTTGTTTTTTATGGTATATATTGATACAAATTACTTGGCCGCTTCTTGAGGGAAGCCCAACAATATATTTTCTGCTTAAGAAAGGCGGTTGCTTAAAATATATAACTGAGAAAAAAAGTGTAAGTTTTTAACAATTTTTTGCTTGGCGGTTTAAGCCGTGTTATTTCTGAATACAGGTGACCGCTGATTCTTGTTTTCTTGAAAATATCATATCACCTGTTTATCCTTTGTAAACTGTACACAAAGGCAGTTTCATTTTCAGTCTATTCTTAAAAGATTTGGGGTTTTCTGACGGCCGAATCCTGAGAAAAAATGACAGTTATCTAAATATTTACGTGACAAAATTATTTACACACCATATTAACTTAACGTTTTTTTCATAATAACGATATGCAGGTCTATTATACGACTTATATATTTCTCTGTAGTTGCTATTAATTCAGCGTTAACATTTCAAAGGCAAATAATGACATAAAACTATAGTTGACGAACAGTTTACACAGAAACAATTAGTGTATTCGTTCTGTTTTATAATGTCAATATGAATGGCACTAATTTGATTAGAAAAATATCTTTTGAACTAGGGTTTAAAATTTTGAACTTCATTTTGCATAAATGTCTATATGAAAACTCCCGAAAACGTCCTTAAACGTACCGTAATTAAGCACTCTGGCAGTAACAAAAGTTATCACAAGAACTCCAGGATATATTTTGAGTGATCACGAGAACTCTGTGACATTTGAAAAATCGGGTATAAATTTATTAGCCTGGGCTTTATGTTTGCAACTCTTCATTATAATTAGGTAATTAAGTATAGCAACGAAGAAGATCACAAATGAAAAGGTCAATATGTACGAATGAGCAAGTAATTTGGAAATTTTACTCAAAACTACCAGATTTTTATAAAAAAAGGGCGATGAAAAATGGGCTTAAAGGTTTTTTCCGAAACATAATAAAATATGTGGGGCAAGCTCAATTATCAAAGTTTAATTTTTCACCTCAAACTCTCCATTTAAGAGTAAAACTTACCATTTTTCATGTGAGTTCTCAAAGTATATAGAAAAGTTTTCAACAGAAATCAGTAACGTTTTCCAGGAACTCCGTGACCGTTATCATAAGAACCCAATCCTTCATGTAACAGTTCCTCCCCCGTGAACATTGATAATATTGACCATCTATTCTGGGAATGTAAAAAAATACAAACTGTTTTGGCACGTGGCTAAACTCAATTGGAATTATATTTAATCTTTCGAAAGAAATATTATTCTTCTGAGAACCTAAAGTTAGTCTGCAAAGAGACATAATTCAAAACGGGACAAAATGTATTTGAGCATGAGAGAGCGTGTGTGAGTGCTTGTGTGTGGGTGTGTGCGCGTGCGTATGTTTCCGTGCGTTCGCGCGCACGCGCGCGTGTGTGTGTGTGTGTGTGGGGGGGGGGTTTCGCAGTTGTGTGTATGTACATGTGAGTGTGTGTTACATTACTG